GCAGAGGGATGGTTTCTGATAAAGATCCTTAAAAGCCTAAACATAGGGATTTCAGGCCACTTTCCTTGCCTTTTGCAGAAAAGAGCTAATTGAAGAATTGAGTTGTAATTTAGACTGCCGATCTGTATCCATCTCTTGCCATTTCCTAGTTCATACTAGACCCAAACAGTATTACAACAGAAGATAACTTGATTTTTCGCAGATTGTCAGCATCAAATAGTTTCCAGTTTTGAAGAATACATCCTAATGGTAGGGTAGGTGGGATCTGCAGGGTGTTTCCCATGGCATGTTGTGGAGTCTAGGGAAAGAGAGAGAAGACTAGGTCTGGAGTCCTTCTGAGGGCATCCCTGCAGAAGGACGGAGATCTGTTGAGCCCCAGGGTGTCCACCTAGAGACCCAAATTGCACTACCAGTCATTTCTGGTGAAGTGAGCAGCATCAAGTGCTTTTTTTCCCTGGATCTCTCCATATCCTGAGGCCCATTATAACTCCTTAAAGACCCGGTAGAGCCCACTATTGGCTCTATCTAACTACTTGAGAAACAGTATTCCTCCCACTTATCCTAATAATAAACAATTTTGGTAATTATTTTTTAAGGAAATAGAGAAACCTATTTTTTAGCATTTAAGAGAAAAACAAAAACCTTAGCAAGTTCCAAGTACAAGGATAGGGTCTGTTATCTATTAACTAAAATATTCCAGCTCTACTGTTGTATACACACAGGAGGGTTGAGTTGACCTTCATTATCTGTTTGTTGCCTTTGTCCACTCAGGCCCTCAGGCAAATGATTCTAAATTATCTGAATTTTTTTCAAAAGCAATAGTGGGGGGAATCTACCCAGATTGAGAAATGAAGAGGGGAGGGGGCCCATATGTTGCCTGAAAGTGGAGACCTTGGCTCTTATCTATAAGAGTGAGATTTCCTCATGTCCATGAGGACAACTGGAAAACATGATGGACCACACAGTGGGCAAACATGACAGAAAGGTGCGTTGGGATAGTTCCCTGAGGTCTTAAGAAATGGGCCTCTGAGAAAGTGACTTGCTAAGGATTGCTAGAGGTAAAAGACTAAGGGACAAGCACAGATGAGACTTTGAGCATAAAATGGCACAGGATTTGGTAGGTGGCTACTCAAACAAGAGTCCAGGTTACCAACAGCTCTTAGTTCCCAAAAGAATGAGAAATTTAAACAAACATTGTGAAGAACAAACACAAGAGCAAAAGACACATATTAAACTTTAGGTCACACACATAGAACTTGAATGGCACATAAAAGTTTCTTCGGCCAGATGGAGCTTAAAATGGCCTGTTATGTGACTGACTTAATACCAGATTCCTAAGCAGCTTTTAACTGACTTTTACCACAATGAGTAACCAAAAACAGGAAAAAGAAGAAAGAAAAAGGGAAATAATCTTGAGGCCAAAATTATCATTAGAATATCAGAATCAAATAAGATAGAGGGAAGAAGCAAGCTAGCATTAGAAGAGCAACCTCAAGAGGCTCCAGAGGAAAATAAAATACCTACAGCCAGGACTCAACAGGTAGGCCTAGCATCCAGGAAGGTCGTGGCAGACAGCTGAGAAGGGCTGAAGTGGCACCCTTCCCACGGGCCTGTGGGGCTCTCCTACTAGTTGGGAAAACACAGAGGCAACATACTTCCACTCCCCTCTCCCACATGGTGGGACACACTAGGAACTGTCCATGGACCGATGAGAAAATATTCTAAGGTTTCCATCTCTCCTAATCCCCTCCACCCTCTCTCTGCCTCCCCCTGATAACTAATACTGGGGGGAGGGGGAGTTAAAGATTTGAGTTTTTATCAGATGAAAGCCTAACTGAAAGAGAAGGGACATAAAGTAGACTGAGGCTGTCTTAGGGGAGAGAGGAGGAAGGAAAGAAACCAGTGGGCTCCTTCTTGGTTTAAACGCATGAACTTCACCAGATCCCAAGAGTAACATCATTTATTGCGTAAATGACCACTTGAATCTTCATGGCTTAGGACATGTTCCTAGCCACCGCAAAAGGGGATCCATGGCATCAGGTGGATAGAGCTTATGCTTATGCCCTTCAGTTTTGTGGGAGAGAGAGAGAGAGAGAGAGAGAGAGAGAGAGAGAGAGAGAATATAACTTCCCCAAAGGGCTGCACTTACCAGCTTTTGAGTCCCAAAAGGATTCTTTTCATGTTTTTCGTGTCCTGAACAAAGAACTGGACAAGACATGTGGAAAAGGTAGCAAGAATTTACACTTATTGAAGGTGAAAAGGAATTAAGCTGTCCAGAGTGAAAGCAGGCTTGTGAATAGACTCACAGTGGCCACAAGGATAATGGCAGGCCTCTTTTGTATAAGGAATTCTTTTGTATGAGGAATTGCTTCTCCTCCGTGCAAACAAGGCATTTGGGATGGTTGCCCTATCAGAAACTCACTTGGCCTAATGTCAGATTTAAACTGTCCCATCACACCAGATGTAAATGGAGAATTTAAAATGGCACTTTTCTGATTGGTCCCACATACAGGGCTTGGGGTGCACAATCATCCTGGATTCTGTGTTCTATACATGTGCCCTGGGTCTCCGTGACTGACAGACCCTTCAAAATTGTTTCATGGGATTGCCTCACCCTAATCTCTTATCTTAATAGCACAATGCATAAAGCTATGAGAATGAAGCCAAAGCTGTAGTGGAGACCCCAGAAAGTTGGAGATGACAGGAACATGGAATACCTGCCAAGGAAAGCTGATGGACAGAAGAAAAACCACCCTGAGAGGCCACGTGGGCTGCAATTGGCAAAGCCATTGGGGTGGAGCTATCCTTTGGAACTCTTCTCACCACCATGTGCCCTAGGTGCTGTACTTGAAGCTATAGGACTTAATATTTAACCTGCTGGGTTTTGTTCTTGCTTTGATTTGGCTCCTTTCTATTTCCCTATTCCTGCCTTTTGGAGTGAGAATATTTACCTGGAGCCATTAAATATTAAAAGTATTTAACTTTATTTTTCATCTTTACAGTGTCTCATAGCTAAAAATTTGCCTTGGGTCTCAGGAGAGACTTTGCACATGGACCTTTGAGCAATGCTTGAATTGTTAAGACTTTGGCATCTCTTGGATCTGAACTAAATGCATTTTGCATAATGAGATGGGCATGAACATTTTGGGAGCCAAGTGCCAATTGTCACAGTTTAGACCTAAAATGTCCTCCAAAAGGCTCCAGAGGTGAGGCTTAAGGAAGTTGATTGATTACAGAGCCACTAAGCCAATCAGATTAATCCACTGAGTTCATAGCTGAATGTGCTATTAGGAGATAGGGCCTGATTTAAGAATATATTATTGTCTCTGGCTTCTCCTGGCTTCTCCCTCTCTCTCTCTCTCTCTCTATCTCTCTCTCTCTCTCTCTCTCTCTCTCTCTCTCTCTCTGTTTCCTGGCTGCCATGGAGTGAGCAGCTTTCCTCTACCTTGCTCCTCTACCATCCCTTTTCTGCCTTTGAGCCAGTTAATGTTGAACTGAAAGCTCTAAAACCACGAATAAATCCTTCTTCCTTCGAGTTGTACATGGCAGGTACTTTGTCCCATTGACAGAAAGGTGACTAATACAGTTATGGTTCAGACCTAAAATATCCCCCAAAGTTTCATGTGATCAGAGGTGAACATTTTGGAAGGGGATCCTATCATGAGTGTGTTAACCTCATCAGCGGAGCATTCTGTTGAATTAATAGCTGAATGAGCTATTAGGAGGTGGGGCCCTGTTAGAGGAGATAGGTCACAGGAAGCATGCCTTTGGAAGGTGTATCTCTCATTTTGCCTCTCTTCCTGCCCTCTGTACTGCTTGCCACCATGAAATATGTAGCTTTCTTCTCGCATGTCCCTCTGCCACAATGTTTCTGCCTCGGAGCCAGTTAACCATAGACTGAAACTTATAAAACTGCAAACCAAAATAAATACTTCTTCCTTTGAGTTGTGGATGTCAGATATATTGTCCCAGCAATGAAAATCTGAACAATACACTTGTATTTCTTCCACTCATGTTCTTTTGCCCATCTTTTAAAATATGAAAATGATTTAAAATTCAGGCTTTCTTGTGTGCACAAGTATATGTATGTGTCTACGTGTGGCTTATGTGTTTGCACACATTCATGGGCTGTGGTGGAAAGAGACTCTCCTGTGTTCCTCTGTTATCCCTGAAATGGTTGGCAAACCTGGGCTACGTTGGAGAAAAGCCTGTGTTTGTTATTGTCTTGGGAATATTGGTATTTTCTTTCTTAATTAGAGTAGATCTCAAAATGCAACTCACCAGGGTGGAGTTGTAGCTCAGTGTTGGAACACTTCCCTAACATGTGTACAACCCTGGATTCAATATCCAGAACTGCAAAGATAAAAACAAAAAGAATGCAACTCATGGGTCTTTTGAAATTCTCTGATTCTTGGCTTGTCTTTGATGCTCAAAAGAAAAGGCCTTTGCTGGATCTCCTGGCCTAAATGCTCCCTCCTACAATTAGCTGGTGTTGCATATTCTCACCACATACCAGAAATTCACAACAGAAAATAAGATCACTGGGGTCAAGAGGCTGTACTGAACAGCTGGCAGAGTTAATATACAGACTGGTTTCTTGCTGTTCTCCTGACATATCCCCTAATGTCTACTGTAACTTACTCCCTAAGGAAACTTCTTTGTCCCTTGAAATGTTGCAAGTACTTTCAGAATTTGGGTTATCTGGTAACCGGAGGCATTAGAAGTAAGTGTGAACTGTTTAAGATTCTACAGTTGGAGGCCATTGGGAGTGGCTGTTGTAAGCTACATAACATTGACTGAACATGACACCCTGCAGAGGTATTCTTGGTTCCTCTTATATAGCTACATCCCTCATAGTCAAAGACCTCTTCAGATAGAAGGGACTGTTTTTTTTATCATGTCCCACCCTTCTCAGGCCACAGCTAGGGAGACAAAACTAGGAAAGGCTTGATTAAACATTAATGCAGCTGTCACCATCACACAAAAAGCAAGTGCCCCATGGCCAAGCTCAAGAGCTATCTAGTACTCCCAGGTGACCAGAAGTCATGGCTCACTTTGCTCAGGTTCTGGATGAAATAGGTGACTTTGGTCGCTTCCAGGTACAGGTGATGATGCTGTTGTGTATCCCCAACTTCCTGTCTGCCTTCCAGATTTTTGGCTACATGTTCATGATCCAGAATGAGGCCCACCATTGTTCAGTGCCCTGGGTTCAGAACCATACTTTCAACTGGAGTGCAGCTGAGCAGCTGGCCCTGAGTGTACCTCTGGATGCTACAGGCAAGCCTGAGTCCTGCCTCATGTTTCGGCCACCCACTGACAATGCCAGCCTAGAAGACATCCTCAGTCACCGCTTCAATGAGACACAATCTTGTGAAACTGGCTGGGACTATCCTGAGCATAAACCCCAATCCCTAATGAATGAGGTAAGCCTGTCTTCACTCTGTCTGTCCTCTTGTTTTGGGTCTGACAGTTCCTCTCCCTGACCCTTCTGTCACTAGCAGCTGCTCCATCTCTCTGTCCCTATACCATTGATAGGCCTGTTTCTCCTTTTGCCAGCCATCCACTTCTCTCTTTGTCCTCTGTCCATCAACCTATCTACTTATCTCTCATTTTCTGTGACTCATCTGTCTGTCTGTCTGTTCTGTCTCTTTGCTTGTCTCTCTGCTGTCTGCACAGTTGCCTGGTCTTTTTCCCTGTACCCTTCTGTTTTCCTCTCTTTTGCCTTTTTGCTCTGTCCAACATTCCCATTTGTCCATTCCCTGTTGTCTTTGAGCCTAACCCTGCATGTCTGCCTGCTTACTTATTTTCCTGAGTTTTCCTTTTATGCTCTTTCCCTGTCCCCTCATCTGACTTCTTGCTTGTTTGACTTCCAACTTCCCAGTTCTTCTCTAGATTCCACTTGCCTGCCTGTGTTTGGGATGCTGAATGACACTCATTGCTCTAGAACTTGTCCTGTGGACAACTAAGTTGGCTCTTACCAGCTTCATTCCCCAGGAGAGACTCAGGCAGATAAACAGAAAAATTCCTGCTCTAGCCACCTTAGAGCAGAGGGGCCTTCTGAAAGCAACTAGCTCTCTGCTATTATTGCTTCTCAGGTTATAGATTGAGGCTGGAAGGGGGAGATGACTTGGCCAGGACATCATAGTGGGCTGATCATGAAGCTGGGGTTCCCATGCAGGACTCCCGTTGTTTAGTTCCCTGCAGCTGAGGGAAACAGCACAGGCAATTCAGAAAACTGAGGGGCATGGGCTGTTATGAGAATCTGTGCAACTTTCACCATTTTTATGGTTGCAAATCTGGAGCCCAGTGATTAAACATTCACTTTTCCCCCACATTTCAAATTTTTTTCAAAAATAAATATTTAACCAAAGTAAAATATTCACTTTTTAATTTGTGACCATAAACTTCCAAAATGCCAGTAGCATAAGAGTATACCTTGCCTGTGTCCTTCTGATTCTCCACTTCATCTCACCCCACAAGAGAGCTAGGCGGCCTAGAGAGTCTCCCAGTCTCCAGATCTAGTCTGACCTAGTTAAACCTTTTTCAGCCTCTCAATAATCCCTCAAAAATTACCCCCATAATAGGTTTTGGCCTTCATTAGCTTTCAAAAATTGTTGGCATGCCTATATGTGCTTATAAAGTCTCTGTCCACCTATTCAAATATCATTATCTTTAAATCCCCAAAAATGTTGCAGATTTCTCTGGGCCTTCTCTAGCTTTTGTTCACAGTCTGTGCTGGATTATTCACGTGAAATCATTTAGCCAAACCCCAGTTAATACACTGTGTATTAACTGCATAGGGGACCATCAGAGGAGGGTGACACCTTGTTCCCCTTCTTCAAGGAGGCCAGTGGTGGGTAAGATCTTGGCCCCTTGTGTAGGAATAAAGGCTGGGTGTGCTATGAGCCCTAACATATGCTGCCTTCTATGAAAGGAAAGAGTAGGTAACTTCCTGAAGAAGGTCATACTTGATCTGAGCACCAAGACACAAAATAGAAATGTTGATAGAGAAGACAGAATTCCTTTGCAGGCAAAGAAAGATCTAGCAGTAGGAAGTGATGGTATGTATAAGAGCACTAGGCAACTTGGTGAGCCTGGAATAGGGAAAGGTAGAGTATAGAAACTGGATAGAAAGTTTTCAGGGATTTGAGATGTCTTTTGGTGTTTGTCTATTTGTTTGTTGGTTTGCTTGCTTGCTTACTTGCTTAGTATACCTGAAAAGAATGCATGTACTCATCAGGTTGCTATCACTGGAACAAAATACCTGATATACACAAATCAGAAGAGGAATATTTTGGTCAGGGATTGTGGGCCATGATTTGCTGGCTCAGAGGTACAAACATCATGACAAAATGACATGGCAGAGGAAAGCTGCTCATATCATGGAGGCAGAGAGCAAGAAAGACCCAGGGAAGGAAACCTCAGTGATCAGACATAGTCCCCAAAGTTATACCCTCAGGACCCACCAGATACATCTTTCAAGCGAATTTGACAATTAAGATTAAACATCACAAGTCCACCCCTTGAGAATTTAGTACCCAAACACATCTCTTTAAACCCTAGTCTCCAAAGAGAGACAATAAAAAGCCATAATTCCACCTAACATGACTTGTGTCCTGCATACAACTGAAGACACTAATTCCTTCCCTGCATCTCAAAAGTCCCAGCAATGCTCAAAAGTCCAAGTTCAAAGTCTCCTCTAAGATTCAAGGCAACTTTTAGCTATAATCCTCTGTAAAAAAAACTTTTAAGTTACATAATGCCAAAATACAATACCACAGGGCAAACATTCCCATTCCAAGAGGAAAGAATAGAGGGATAGAAGGGAATAGGAAGAAAACAAAACCAACACTCAGCAGGGCAAGCATTAAGCTCTGTAGCTCCATATCTGTAATCCACAACAAATGGTGGTAACATATGAGTTCCAAAAAGCTTGGGCAGTTCCACCCCTATGGCTTTGCCAACTGTAGGCTACTCATATGGATCTGCTCATTGCCTGCAGTTGTCCTCAGCAGTCTATTATTCCTGCCATCTCCACTTCCTTGAGTCTCCATTGTAGCTTTAGTCTCACTCTCAGAGCTTCATGGACCACTCTCTCAGGGGCTCCCAGAAGAGATTGTCATACATTGCTTGGCCTCCCAGGCCTTCCTTCAAAATCTTGGTAGATCCTTCATGATACTACAACCCTTGTATTCATCCTACCTCCAAAACCAACATCACATAGAGGATCCCAAGGTCTACCACCAGTATAAGCAGTAGCCAGCCCCCCTTGGACCATGCCTCCAATGGCTTCTGGGTGGCTGGATGGTTGAATATAGGAAAAAACTCCCCTGGCATCCCTGAGTGAATGAGTAGGGCACCGTGGGACTAGCTTCCTAAAACAAAGTCCTAAACAATTTTACACTCATACACCCTGTAGCCTGCTATGGTTGGAGTCTGGAAAATTCCTGAGATGCCCTCAAGACATCTCTCCTATTGTCCTGTTGAAAAGCACTTGGCGGCTGCTGCTTCTTTTCTTTTTCTTCTTATTCTTCTTCTTCTTCTTCTTCTTCTTCTCCTCCTCCTCCTCCTCCTCCTCCTCCTCCTTCTTCTTCCTTCTTTTTAATGGCACTAGTCTCTTCAGTAACCACAACTTCTTTGGCCCCAGATTTATAATCATTTATTTTCTGACCAAAAAGCAAGTTTTTCATATCTTTTTTAATATTTTCAATTTTTATTTTTTGTTATTAGTATATATTTCTGATGCATAATAATTACATTCATCTTGCAGAATTGGTACATATACATATCACACCTTGATAATTTTTACTTGTTTCCCATTCTCACTGTAAATCATTAAATACAGTCGGTAGTATGCATGCCACAGCCTGAATGTTGAGCTGCCTTGAAATTTCCTCTGCCAGATAAATTCATTCGTTGCTTTTAAACTCAGTCTCGTACAAAGTTTTAGGGCATAGACAAAATATAGTCAAAGTCTTTGCCAAGATGAAACATGTATGGCCTCTAGTTCAGTTCTCAGTACAGTCCACATTCCCATCAAAAACTTCACAAGCAATCTTTACTGTCCACATTCCTATCAGCATTCCACCAAAATTGCTCATCAAGTTCTTCTTACAGCATTCTAGGGCTTCTCTAGCCTACATCTCCAGACTTTTCCAAACTCTTCCCACAAACCAGTTTCAAAGACTTCTGAACTGCATGGTCAGGTATAGTCACAGAAACTACTCCATTTCTGGAGTACCAATTTTCTGTATTAGTCATCTTTCTGTTGCTGGGACAAAATATCTAACATGCACAACTTAAAAGGAAAAACGTTTAGCTTGGCTTACAATTTCAGAAGTTTTAGTCCATGGTCAGCTGTCTCCAAATCACAAACATCATGGCAGGGGTCGGGGATTTAGCTCAGTAGTTTCACCGCCTGCTGCACAAGTGCAAGGACCCAAGTTCGATCCCCGGTACAAAAAAAAAAAAAATCATGGGAGAAGAAAACGAATCACATCATGGCAGCCAAGAATGGGAGAGTAAGGAAGAGCTAGAGAGGAAGGAGCCAGGGACCAAATACAGTCCCTAAGGTCACACCCCCATGACCCACAGAGATACACCCAGAAGGGTGCTTTACTCATCTCCTGGGCATCTCTCAAACCAATAAAATGGACATTGAGATTAACCATCACAAACAAATATCCTTGAAAGCTACAGTCATATATATAGTACATCTTACAAAAAGGGAGGGGCAAGACAGATTCTACCTACTTTCATGACCTCCATCAATCCCTGGATCTATTTGCTCAAGGGCAGAGTGAAAAGACACTGTCTGAAAGTTGTCATTTTTGTTTTGTTTTTTGTTGTTGTTGTTGTTTCAGTACTAAAGAATACACCCAGAGTCTTCCACTGAGCACATCCCCAGTGTTTTGGTTTTTTGTTGTTGTTTTTGGTTTTGGTGTTGGTTTTTGAGACAGGGTCTTGCTAAGTCACTTTGATAGGTTTAAAACTGCTATCCTTCTACCTAGCCTCCCAAACTATTTCAGTTACAGTCATGTGCCACCACTCCCAACTAAGGTGTGCATTATTTAATGCCAGGACAAACCTACTGCTGTCTTGGATGATGGAGACTCCAGGGCAGCCAGTGTTACTTTATCAAATGCCTTCTTTTGGCCTTTCTGTATAATTTCAGAGCACTACACTTCACAGATTTGATAGCTTTCCAGTCGAGGGCCAGCTTTTCAGCACCCTCTGCAGTAATAGGCTTCTGTTTGTTCTTGGTAGATTCCTCAATAGTAGAAGGGTCATCTCTGAAATTATCCTGGATGTCAGCAAGCAAAAAAATGGTGGACAGTACATTGTGTGTCATTGCAGGCACCCACTTCTCAACCACATTTTTAAATGAGGATAAAAATACTCCTGAGAACCTGAGTAGAAACACATCTGTTTGTGGTTACTCAGCCTTGTAAGCACTCATAATCCTTTTGCCCTGCCTTGTCAGAAACTCCTAGAGTCTATGACTCTACAATCCAGTCATTGCATAGGTGTCAAAAACTGTTAGCACTTACTCAGATGAAGATTCAGATTTGTTTGTTTCGGTGGATATCAGAAAACAAGATTTACTGATGGCACCATTGCTCAGAGCAACTCACTTGATTATATTGCCCAAATTTATAATCTAGTGCTGTCCTCTGATTCTCTGACAGACTGTAGCCATGCTTCAAGGCCTCTCTCTTTATTCTCAGTCATCAACCCAGTCTGTGCTGGCTGGGCTTGACCTCAGAGCTCTTACCTACCCTACCACCTTCCTCCCACCTCCACCGTGAAAGGACTGTGACTCCCAAGGAAATACACATCTTTGGTATTCTGTGTGTCCTGTGCCACAGGATAATCCCAAACTGTTTCAGAGCAGAGCTCCCTTGGGATGAGATCCACCTTTTCTCCCCAGATATGAGCAGGGAGGGGGGTTGTACACCAACCCAGGGGGTCCTCTCTGAGCAGACATCCCAAGTTTCCTTATAACCAGCAGCTTCACATTCAAACTGAAATATAAACCACACAAATGTAAAAAGAAAAGAGCACATTTCCTCATAAATTGAGTACTCTTGAAAGTCAGAGTATTTTTCTTCTCCTCAACCTACCTATGTAATATTTTCTGCATCCCCACCCTTGGAAAAAGAAAAACCAGACTCTTGGCCCTGTCCGCATGGACCTCAAAAAAGCCATTGATATACTATCAATGTATAGCAGCAAAAGTGTAATCTGTCCTGGGAGGGAAGAAGAGGTCAGAATGGAGGGAAGGATAAGCAGGGGGGAACAGCCATTGTTAAAGTCTGTAAGTGAAAAAATACCAGGAATATCTGAGGAATGCTGACATTACAGACATTGGAAAATAAGGGAGAGCCAGCTCTTCAAGGGTCTTCCATCCAGTGCTGAGGATTTTGGGCTTTCTCCTAGAGAGCAAAGGGAGCCATTAATGGTTTGGGAATAGGGGAGGAAGGAGATACAGTACAATGTGTTCCAAGAACTGAGGGTGGACTTCTGTAGGCCATCATGGTGGGGCCTGGACAGAGACATCCATTAAAGGTGTTAGGGCCAGGAAGGGTGATGATAAACACCCCAATTTGGAGGCCTCTTTATCTCTGTATCATCTGCAGCTAGACATTGCTATATGGGCTTCAGCACCCTAACACCTCTCCAAGCCTCACTCTGTGCTGCAAGCAATGGGTGACAAGTGTTCATGGGGTTAGACTGAGGAGTTAATGATATACAGGATATGAACTACAGGGAGGTAGTGAATGGTGGCTTTTGACCCAGGTGCCAGACTGGGGAGAACCTCAAAGCTTGGCATTATTACCTGCAGGGCAGGGCACTCCAGGTGCTTCATCAGCACAGTGGCCAGCATGCTTCTCCCTACCTGGCCCACTGAGAGCTTCCTATGTAACAGCCACGGAGCTAAGCAAGTTGCAGGTGGGAATTCCTTTAATTCTGTCAGGTCATACTGTGTGGGACATTTTATCCTTGTTTTGTACACATAGGAAACCAATACACAGATTGGCTAACAGGCTAATGGTCACACAGGGCTGTTCAATTCTGACTTCTGGGATTAGCAGCAGCTGACCTGTATTTATTTTTATTTATTTTAAATGGCATCTTACTACAAAAGCAATCTATAGTTTCTAGACAGAAACCAAACTAGATAGAGCTGGACAGAACAACAACATCCCCTGTACTGCCTCCTGCATTCCCAGGAGGAGTTGATCACTTGACACATATTCCAAGTCCTTAGAAATTAATAGTTGTTCTTGAGAATAGAAGTATGACCACAATGATGACTCATGGATTGTTAATTTCTTGCTAAAGGTTATTGAACTGATGATGATTGACTATTTAGCTTAGTGTAGGCTTCAGTTCATTTATTCATTCAATCATCCTCAGCAAATATTCTCTTACCCTTCACTCAGTTTCAATCCCCATGTCAGGCAGAGATGTCTCAACAACAGCAGCTGCTATCCAACAGTGAGAATGAGCCTCGGCTGCTTAGCTTCTCCTCCTTCTAGGAAATGTAGCAATTAGTCAAATGTGGCTGTGGGAATCCTGTGAGATAATCCACTTAAAGCACTTAATACAGAGTCCTGCACAGTGAGCATTCGAAGGCATCGGTGTGGTGGTGAAGCTAGATGAGAGCTCATGTGGTGATCTCCCCACACCATTCTGGGATGGGGCAGGAATGTGTGCCAGGGGCACAGAACTCCCCTGAGTAGCCCACAACTCAGCAAGTTGGGGTCAACCATGTGCACCGTGTGTTCCCATAGAGCAGAAGTGTGCAGCGCTATGGGGACCTGCATTTTGTCTTCATTTGGTTCCCTGTCTATCTCCAGAGAGGTTGGCACCACTTGGCCAGATGCACATTTCCTGTCATTCTGTGTTTCTAACTGTCTTTCTCCCCTATGTATGTTCCTCCATCCTAATTAGAAGTCATGTGTGAATGCTTCTTAATGTTCTGATTGCCTGTGAATGCTGGGCACCAGGGGAATTTTGCAGATGGGAAACTCAAAGTGGCCACACGGTGCAGGGTGCAGGGTGCAGGGAGAGGCCCAACGTGTCAGGAAGCAGCTAGTACATGTCTGTAAGAGGTGCCAAATTTTACAGCTTTAGTGTGTCAGTCTCATTGCATGGCATTGCTTGGGCAAAAGAAAAGCCTAACTCATTATTTAAATAATTAAGCCCAAGCAAGAAGTATATATGTCTTAACAACTTACTAGTTGTTTTAAAGAATAATAAACATAAATTGAAATTATTTCATTCCTAAATGCAATGACTTACTAATATGATGTTATCTCTCCTGAGCACACTTAAGTTCTCAGTCCTAGAACAATGTCACCCACATTATTGGTGTCTCATTGATCTGCACATACTGTTTGCTTTATCTCATAGCAACTGCCCAAAACAAGACTTCACACAGATATGTCATTGGAAGGAAAATAGTATAATCTCATGTTCAACTATAAACTACCCTGGGCTAGCAATTTGTGTGATGTCAGAGAGATGTCAAATATTGTACAAATTTCTCTTTAAATTTTTAAGAGGGCCGGGGATTTAGCTCAGTGGTTCTGCCGCCTGTCTCGGCCCTAAATTTTTAAATATGCTGCTATGTCCATTGAGCTCACTATGGTGTGCTGGTGTGCCTTGGCACACAGTTTGGGAACCATGGGCATCTGCAGTAAAACATTGGTAATGAGCTGGGTGGTGAGGAACTTGCCCTCCAGGCTGTCCCTAGACTCACATCTGCCTGTGTCTGCCTCAGTTCAACCTAGTTTGTGATCGGAAGCACCTAAAGGAAACCTCGCAGTCTGTGTTCATGGCTGGACTCCTCATTGGAGCCCTCATCTTTGGGCCCATCAGTGACAGGTATGGACCTTGCCAGCTTATCACAACCTAGCACTCTAAGCTCCTGGTGCAGGCCCACGTTGGCCTCCAGGATAAGGCCCTCTTCCTCCTTCCTCAAACGGGGCCTCCCTTCCTCAAACACGTCTCCTCCCCGGACAGAGAGAGCCCAAGGCAGGCCCACCTGGTTCTCCCTACTTCTGTCCTCCACACAGACCTGCCCTTTGTTATCTCAGAACTGGTCGCAGAGCCTCCTTCTTGGGGCAGCTGCTCCTGTTTGCCATCTCGGGCCTGGCCACAGCATTTGCGCCCAGCTTTGAGCTCCACATGGCCCTGCGCTTTGCTATAGCTACGGCTGTTGGTGGATATACCTTAAACATTACCACTTTACGTAAGTATCTGGGCCTTCAGCCTCAGGGTATGGCTGGCCACATTCCTTAACTGCCTGATAGCTGCCCTACACATGAAGTAGCCACAGTTTCCTGTTCTGGGGCTGAGGCCCCAGCCCTGCCATGGTGGCATCTGGTGAGCAACAGGGAGTTGAATGGGCAGGTGTGGCCCACTCTCACCTCTCTGTTCCCACAGTTTCAGAGTGGGTGGGACCCTCATGGAGAACCCCTGCTATGGCCCTAAACTTGGCTGGCTTCGCCCTCGGGCAGATGGGGCTAGCAGGACTCGCCTACGGTGTCCGAAAATGGAGGCTCCTTCAGATCTCCAGCACTGCACCCATCTTGCTGCTTCTTTTCCACTTCTGGTGAGGAGACACTTGGCAGAAGGAGACCTCCTGTCAGCTGTGCTGTGAGGCTGGGTGCAACTCTCCCCTGCACTCTCACCTCCTAAGGCCATCAGAGGCTGGTCGGGGAGATGTAACCTGTGAGCGCTGGCTGTGGGGTTCACTGCGCACTGGAATGGCTGGGAAGGCTCCACAGGGCTCTGGACCCCAAGGTTATAGCTATTCCTGACTCACAGGGCAGTGCCAGAATCTGCACGGTGGCTCCTCATTCAGGGGCGGATAGAGGAGGCCAAGCAATTGGTCCAGAAGGCAGCATTAGTCAACAAGAGGGAACTCACCCCTGAGCTCCTAAGCCAGGTACTTGCAGCAGGCCTTGGCCATCCCTGCCCCAGAGCTGCTCCACCCAGATATTCCCTGGGCCCCTCAATCTGAATCTCCTTCCAGCTGGCCCCAGAGGAGAAAGGCCCCTCGGGGAATGCCTTTGATCTTTTCAGACACCCTCATCTCCGGAAGGTGACCCTGATTCTTATCTGTGTCTGGTGAGTGACCAGGGCTCATGCCCTTTCCCAAAAACAGATCCAGAGGGCTACTATCTTCCAGGTGTGTGTCAGGGTAGTGGTGGCTCTCTGGCTAGCATGGTCTCTCCCCAACTGTGGCAGTGTCTGCTGCTGTGGCCCTGACCAAGGCAACCTCTTTCTTTGGGTGTGATGGTATTGTATATCCACCAGTGACACCAATGCTTTGGCATTCTATAGGTTTGTGGACAGTCTGACATACTATGGGCTCAGTTTTCAAGTAGGAGATTTTGGCATGGACATCTACCTGACACAGCTAATATTTGGAGCAGTCGAGTTGCCCTCCCGAATTTCCAGCATCTTCTTGATGGAGAAGTGTGGCCGAAAGTGGAGCCAGTCTGGGACTCTGATTCTGGGTGGCCTCATGTGTATTATCATCACCTTCATCCCATCAGGTATCAGGAAACAGGGCTGACTGTTTCTCACCCATCCCCTGCCGTCTCCCAGAGGCTAGACCAACAGCCATTGCTCTCCTGTCAAGAGTAAGGACTTCCTAGATCTGGGTGCAAAAGGGGTGAAGAGTTTGGGTGCATGCAGTAGTAGGCAGGGGCTAGGTGTTGCGCCATCTACTATCTGTGTGCTGACCAGCATTTTCTACCAGATCTGCCTGTGGTGGTCACCGTGCTGGCCATAATAGGGAAGTTTGCTATGGCTGCTGGCTTTACCATCTCCTATGTGTATACCTCTGAGCTCTTCCCCACCATTATCCGGTAAGAGATGCTGCTAGGACTGCTCTGCACCTTGATCTTTGCCATCCCTCCGCTACCCTCACCACCTGTTGACAAATAGCCAAAAGGGCTGGCTCTGGGCCAGGGCAATCCTAAATCTTGCTCCCAAGTTATCCTGTGGTGGGTGGGGGACAGATATAGAAGTAGGCCACACCCTGGCCTTGTCGGGACAGGAATGTTGTATAAGTCTAAGAATGAATGGCCCAAGACAAGGAACACTCGTGTGGGGAAGGTGGTGGGAGGAAAGCTCAGCCTTTGACCTGAGGTGTGACAGGTGAGGAGGAGTGTAGCAGGGAGACAGGGAGGCCAGAAGTGAGAGGGCCACACTGGAGCAGGGAGCAGGAGCACTGGACGGGCTGGATGGGCTGGGGTAAACCTGCAGGCCTTTGGGAGTCACAGTATGGGGTCTGGGGTAGAGCTACAGCCTGGCAGTGAAGCCAGGTCTGTTCCACTTGTATGGGTCTTACCTCAGACAAACTGGCATGGGGCTGGTGAGCATCTTCTCAAGGATCGCAGGCACCATCACTCCACTTGTGATCCTGCTGGGTGAGAACCACATGGCCCTCCCCATGCTCATCTTCGGGAGCCTCCCTATCGGAGCCGGTGTACTCTGTGCCCTGCTGCCAGAGACACGTGGCCAGAGCCTGAAGGACACCATCCAGGACCTGGAGCAGAGGCCCTGCCCACAGTAAGCAGTTTTCTTGCTCTGAAGCCCAAGACCGGGGCCTCACATCAGCAACCCCCCTCTCAGAGGCCTAGGTCTCCACCTAAACTATTAGTCCATTGTTGCTTAATACCTGATATGGGTCCTCATGGAACCCGAGACTGGCTTGGGTCAGAATCCCCCTACTCTCAGCAGGGAGGATGATGAGGGACACTGCCAAGAGACCAGTTCTTGGACAGCCAGGGACAGCCAGTGACAGCCTTCTGCTCCCTGCAGGTCTCCAAAGGCAGCACCTCTGGAAAAACAGAGGAAAATCACAGGAAAATCTTCTAGCCCAAAGGTGGCAATTGTGAGCAGTGCATACTTCTAATCGTGGTTCCTAAGAGCTAGACCATCTGCAGTGGGGAGCAGCCCATACGTCCCCTTGAATATGGCCAGGACCCATGAGGATGAAGAAATAAGACCAGCCTTGCTTATGAAGACAGCACACCATGACCTGGCCTCAGCCTCAGCCACCCACTACTGAGTTCAATCCCAGGAGCATCTGGGATAGAACCTCCCTCCATCCAGAATCTACTTCTCTCATCCCCACAGCCCCATCCCAATACGATGTCCGAATTAAGGATTCTAGGTCTGTCCTGGGCTTTGCTTGTTCTCTGATAGTCTTGAGGGGGAGGGGAGTGGTATGGTTTCCAAGATGACCTCAGTCTGGAGAGTCCCTGCCCTCAAAACAGTCAAGCCCAGCACAGAGCAGAGGGTAGGCCCTTCCCCAGTTGTGGGAGCAAGCAGAGGAAACAAACCATGAAGATGTGGATTATACAAAACTGTATCTGTGGCTCTGATGCTCCAAAGCCAACAGACAGCTGTGTTCTCAGCCCATCTTGGAAGGACACTCTGTGCACTGCCTCTTTCTCAGACTGGACACTCTCCAGCTGGGGAAAGGACCTCATTGTTTCTTCCCTATCACTGTGGCCTTCCCCACTTATAAACACTCATGGAAACCTTTCTTTTTTGACTTGCAGATTGGACATCATTCCACTGAAATTCTGCCACCTGGATCTTGGTTGTTCCTTCCACTTAGCTCATGCCATCCTCTTAGAATAATCCCTCTCCACTTCCAAAAATCTCAAAAAATTTCTGGCATGTAAGTGAATAGATGAATGAGTTTCTCATTCAGATATGTCACTCTCTGACTATAGCATCCCCTCCTCCTGGCCTCTTTGCTCCATTATTCCCACTGGACGCAGTCAGCTTAGGCTTCCACAACACAGTATCACAGACAAGCGGCTTAAAAGCAAAGACTTATTTCCTCATGGGTCTAGAAGTTTGAAGCCTGAAATCAAGAGTACCAGCATGGCCAGGTTCTGGGGATGCCCTCCCTCTTCCTGTCTTTCAGATGGCTTCTCTTTAGTACCTGTACAAGGGGACAAATTTCCGTCTCTTCCACTTCTTATAAAACCACTAATTCCATCCAGGGTCCTAACCTCATGACTTTATCTAACCCTAATCAGTTCCATGGCCCCATATAAAAATACCATTATGGGCCGGGGATTTAGCTCAGCGGTGCCACCTGCTGTCTCACAAGTGCAAGGTCCCGAGTTCAATTCCCAGTACCAAAAATAAAAAATAAAAAAATAAAAACACCATCACACTGGAGGGTCGAGCTACATAAAGGTAGAGGGGAAACAAACATTCTTTCTGTAACACCATCCTTGGCCTCATTGGGCCCTCTGGTCTGTTGACCTTTTCGTGGTCTCCCCACCTCCCTCAGTCCTCTCTACTCAGAATAGAGGATGGAGAAATGCTGTTAACTTCTATTGAGAGACAGAGATCATTTCTCTCAGTTGCTAATGCTGTAACACATTAATCCTTTTACCCTTGTGCCCAACTAGCAAAACCACAGCAGTAAGTGAGCCCAATTATCTGCCTGCTCCATTTCTTCACTCAGATGACTAGACATTCATTGCTAGATTCCCACGCCCAGTATTTCTGTTTCTCTATAAATTTATTGTCACCAACTTCAACTGGCTCGTTAAAGGGCCTGGTGTTCCTACCAGCCTTTCCTAGCCTGCTTGTTTTTCATCCCCACCTATGACCATTTCTACCCTGCATGCTGCATGCCTTGTTCCTTTTCCTCCTGACAGCTCCTTCTCCTTCAGAAATAGGAGGAGCTACAATGTGGCAGCTCCCCAAACTGCCCACCACCAAATCTTTCACCGACTCCTCAACCTGCCCTTCTGCTTTGTAACAGAGCTGTCCTGCATGCAGCGGCAGTGATGCCACTGAGGGTAAGACCCTTCCCTCTGCTCCTATCTCTACTCTGAGATTTGGGAGCAGCTGAAAATAGGGTCTTTTTCTTCCCTGGCCTCTCCATGTCCCTTACCTTAGGCAAAGGCCCTAGGCATCAGGCAAGCTGGAGAACTGTATTTGTTTTTCCCTCCAAGTTTCTTTGGAGGTGAGAGAATTCATCTCCTTCTGGAGTTTCTCTTTCACACAGAGATCTTCAATGTGCTGGCCAAGGGCCCTCTACCTGGCCAGGGTTAGAGTCAGCCACAGGTGGTCCAGGTCAATTGCCTACACAGAGGTCTGGACAGACCTTCACTGACATCCATATTGGGACCAGGAAAGCTTCTAGATCCCCAGGATGTGCCCAGGACCTCCCTGCAGGATGGAGGTGGTGGCCTCTCTGGCCCCTGCTTGCCTACCTCCTGGTTTTTCTCTTTAAAGATAAGAGCAATGGTAACCATGAATCTTGAGCATTCAGCCCAGGTAAGTGGAAAGACACTGATATTTACTAGTTTTCTCAATTTCTCATCAAGGGAAACAGAAATGGCCTCTTGATAGTTTAAGAAAAAAACTAACATTTGTAACCAGTAGGCACATGAGCTCTGTAAACTCATGTAAGAAACCCTGTTTGCTTAGACTCTGCTGCACCTCCACCTCTCTGAGCTATGGAAATTCGGTCTTGGCCATCATTGGGCTCTTTTCTACCCAGAGATCAAAACAGAGACATGGATGTCCTGTCACCAGAGCAAAAGGGTGCTCCCTGCCCTTATTATCAGATGATGAGTGCTGGGTCCTCACTATGCCACCTCCTCAGTCCCTGTGGCCCCAGCAGTGCTGCTAAGTCTAGGAAACTCAAAGAAGCCTGAGGGACCCAGGACCAGTTGCTCAGGTGATGTGCAGACACCTGGGAGGCCTGGTAAGGGAGAGGATCTTCCACCCAGACATGAGCAGAAGTGAGCACTAATCAGTGACTGAAGCCATAGTAAGCTGCAGAGTAGCAGTGGGGAGGTTTCCTCATTTTGATTCATTCTTTGGTGGCTTGTTTCAAACTAGCAAATCTTCCATTTTTTTTCTCTCGGTGTATCTTAGTGCCTTGGTTTTTCCAGAATCCTGAGTACATGGTGGGTCTGCTGATCAGGGACTGAGGCAGGCATAAGTCCCAGCCTCCTGAACTGCTGCTGTTCCCACTTCTCTAGCCTATGTCCTAGGTGGTGGTGAAGAGGAGGGAGCTCTCTTACATAGGTTCAGGAAGCAGGTGGTGCTGCTGAACAGGGGAATGAGGAGCCTGAGCAATGCCAGGCTCAGGCTGCTCAGACCTAGAGCTTCCACTTCTAAAGCGAGGGTCCCTCAGTTCCCCTCCAGGGTCTGCCTGGTAGCAACCCTATGCTGATCTCCACCCTGCACCCCAAACAAGAAGACTGGAGTCTGATTCCCACAAACTGGCAGAGGAGCTTCATGGGGAAATGGGTCAGAGACAGACAGCTCTGACCAAAGCTGTAGGGCAGGGGAAAGTCCCAGAAGGGTGTGGGGCAGGGCCAAACCATTTCAGCTGTGAGATCAGAAGTCTTGAAGCACAGCAGACAATTAAGTGGTATCTGGAAGGACGGGAGAATTTCCCTCAGCAAGGGCAGGATTCTCCTGGAAAGGGTGAGTGCTCTAGGGATAGGAAACAGTTGGTACAAAGCCACTGGCCTGGCTCATGTGGCAGTCTGTACAACCCACCTTGCCCCATTCTGTCCCTAGGACTGGCATCAGTTGTGCCCATGGAGTAAAATGCCACTCTGACCAATCCCACCCAACCCTCCCCATCCCATTGTGACGCCAACTCCTCAGCCAGCAATAGAACTCAAGGGTTTTTTCTGCTTCCACGTGTCTGGGTAGGCCTTGACATAGTCAGGTGGGCCCTGGCTTTGGGTTGTAGTCTGGTCTCCAGAGAGGAAGGATGGAAAAGGTAGGGAGTCAGCAGAAAGGTGGGTCAGTGTTCCTGGTACAGATGTAGATGGGAGCCTGTCTGGCTGTGGGAAGTCTGTAGAAGGACCAGACTGCCTCATAGAAAGCACGAGTCTTCTTTCTGGTGTGGCTTGGGCCATTTCCAGCCCTCAAGTAGGGCACTGCTCCATAGCTTCCAGGGCTCAGCTTCCTCTTCTGTATGTTGAGACACCACTGCCTGGTCTACCTGGCAGAGGGCTTTTGGGGTCAGTAGATTGAGGGAGGACTCCAGGGCCTGGCAGCCTATCAGGTAAGGCCACCCTATAAGGAGAGGCTGATACAGGTAGCTCTGGCCTAAAACCAAATCTCTTTGAGAAGAGCAGATTCCTTCTCTCCCTGGGAAGCCTCCTCTACCCACCTCTACCCCTCTACACACACACATCATGTTGGTTTCCCAGAGCCATGGTAAGGCACAAACACAGTGACTTAAAGCAACACACATTTGTTACCTTATGGTTCTGGTCTCACTAGGCATTCCTTTCTGGAGGCTCTGGGGGAGACTCCATTTCCTTGCCTAAGGCAGCTTCTAGGGGCTGCTGTGATCCTTGGATCATGAAGTCCTTCCACCTTCAAAACCAACAATGGCCGAGCAAATCTTTCTTTCTTAAGACAGCTTTCTCTGGTTCTGACTCTCCTGCCTGCTCTTCCACATTTAAGGACCCCCAGATTAAACTGTGTCCACTTAGATAATCCAGGATCTCCTTTTTCTAAAGAAATCTGATAAGCAAACAATTTTATCTACAGCTTTAATCCCCTTTGCCATGTAAGGGGACATATCCGTAGGATCTGAGGATTAGGAAGCAGACATCTTTAGGGAGGCTGTTATTCAGGCAAGGCGGTCTTCCCCTCCCCTGCCTCCAAGCACGCTCTTCCTCTTGTGGTCTCTGCTGGTCCCATCCTTCCTGTTCCTCCAGACTCGGGCCAGGCAGGAGGCGTGGACAGTGAAAAATGCAGATGATGCTGGACGCTGCTGGGCCCTCTGTTGGAATAAATCAGAAGCAGCTGGATCTATGCTCAGCAGACGCGGGGCGGGGCGGCCCTGGTTAGCTCAGGAGCGCGGAGCCAGTAGTGGAGCTGGCACGAGAGGCGTGGGCGGCTGCAGGAGCGGGGACTGCAGTGCCGGCCCCCTGGGTCCCCGAGGCTGCGGACCGCGCCACCCGCATCCTAGTCGGGCCGGGCCGGACCTCGGTGATCCCGCGGCAACTGGAACCTCCAGCGTCTGGTGGGTGACGTCCCCGGGTCGGGAGAGAAGTTTGGAGCGGGCTGGAGCGCCCCGCGCGGAGAGGGAGACCCGGAGAGAGACTTCCCTGCGCAGAGCAGCGCGGAGGCCCGGGAGGCCCTGCGTTTGGGGGAGTCACCCCGGCGCCCTCGGCACTTCACATCCCTGGGGCCAACCGCGCTGCCTCCCCGGAGCCGGTGAGCGCCCGGCCGAAGAATACTCAGTCTGGACTCACGGCGCTGGCCTGGACCCCGCCGGCTCGTCTGTGTGGGGTTCCCGGGGCCACCGCGCCACCTGCCCCTCGCCGGTCGCCACCGCTGCCGAGGGGAAAACCGGACAGGAGGTGGCTGGGAGAGGAGCAGAGCAAAGCAAGCCGCCTGATTTGTTGGCCCGAAGGGAGTGGTTATTCTTAAAATTTTGTCATGCACATGTAGTTTCAAAGTGTTGATTCCCCTCCTGAACAATGGAAAACTGGAAGATTACAGGACAGTTTGGTTCTGCTCTTCCCCCTCCTGACTGAAATGGCCCATTTTCTCTCTCTCTCTTTTTTTTATTTGTGTGTGTGTGTACTCTTTTTATTTAATATAGTCAACCAGAATTTGAATTTGTTTACATGTTTACCATTTTGGCTGATCATTATTGCGTCTCAGGGTGTCCTCCCTGTGTTCCTTATCTTTTATAAGTTCCATTAAGTCACGTCTCTTGCTTGTGTGCGCTATATCAGTTTCTAATTATCAATAACTGTCTCTTTTTTGTACCTCTGTTGGTGAAATTTTGCTGAGTATACAACTCTAGACTGGCTATACTGAAATTTACTACCAATATTCCGAAGACGTTCTTCACACTCCGTTTGCGTAGACCTCGGTGCTGCCTTTGGGCAGGAATCTGGGTCCTCTCAGAGGTACTTCAAGATCTTTGTCACTGGTCCCTGTGCCTTCCACCCCGGTTTTCCTTTTTATTCATGGCACTTGAAATAAGCCTTTTTTTTTTCATGAATCTTGATGATTCATGCTTTTCAAGTTTTAGAAAATTTATTTTTTCTTTTTAAATATTGCTTTTCCATTTCTCCTTCTGGGCTTCCGATCAGCCCCATGTTAAACCTTCTACCAAGTGTCTTTACTGCTCTTTCATCTTTCAGCTGTATGTTCCTGTTCACTAACTCTGTGTTGAATCCATTTAACCTTCCTTTTAGGGTTTTTATTTCAGTAACAGCTCGTTACACATTTTCATGTTTGTAAGTTCACTGTCTTCCTTCCAAAGGTATCTATTTTTCTCTGATTCTTGTTATACTTTCATTTTGTCATGACAATTTTTTAAAGTTCTTATCCTAGCTGCCTTCTTTCTACGTCTGACGTTTCCAGCATCAGCCAGTCTGCTGCCTCTGGGTTCTGTTGACTCAGAGTGGCCTACCTTCGGAGACCACAGTTTCTTTGCCTGCTCTTCACCTGTGAGTGTCCTGAAGGCTCAACTGGGAGAAATTTTCCTCAGAGAGAACTTGCTTCTACTTCTGCTGGTAGCCAAGGGATGCTGTGGTCCAGGACGGTTTTTTTGAAGCATACTGAGGGTTTGGGCTCCAATCAGAGTGTTAAGCTCAGTTTCTGCTCTTCCTAAAGTGCTGTCTTTATTGGTATTGCTTACCTGCCTCCTCCTCTGCTGCCTCTCCACTTTGGCTCTGTGCCACTGTCTGTCATGATGGGTTTTGGAGCCCCACATTCCAGGCTTAGGTCACTAGCTCTATAACCAGTGCTTCCAGCTGCTTGGCTCCAGCTCTTGGCCTCTCATGATGCAGATTCTTTCTTTCTTTCTATTTGTTTGGTTTTTTTAAGAAAGGTCCTGGGCCAGGGATTTAGCTTAGTGGCACTGTGCCTGCCTGGCAAGTGCAAGGTCCTAAATTTAATCCCTGGTACAAAAACAGGAGGGGGGGGAGGGGAGAGGGAGGGGAAAAGAAAAGGAAAGGAAAAAGAAAGAGAAAGATCATCCCTGCAGACCTGGTGGCTCAGTGAGTATGCAAAGAATTTCAGCTGTGGGGGAAGCTGCAAAGAGTGTTTCATGGAGCTTCACCATTCAGGACAACTGGAGAGCATTTTCTAAAATATTAACAATTCTTATTGCACTAAAACTTAAGGATGATTAAGCCAGGTGTGGGGAGCAAATTATGTGAACTAAGGAACTCTAGAAGGAGTACAGAACCAGGAAATCCACGTTGTTCCAAGCCAGAAGCCACATTGTGGCACTCATACTGACATCTATTGTCTTGGAAGTAGTGTCAGGAAACTGAGTTGCACCCTTTCTTTCAGCAAATAGAAGGAGAAAAGAACTCCAAGGTAGAGTTCAGATGCTGTGGTTTTGGAAGCTCAAACCAACAGACAGCATCAGTGCCTTTTCATCCTTGGACCCTACAAATGCCATCGAAGGACATAAACAACAAGGATGTTAAGTTTGCCAAAATCCTGCATGCAGTGGGAGAATTTGGCAAATTCCAGTGGAGGCTGGTAGCCCTCACCTTCATCCCCAGCATCTTGTTGGCCTTCCTGTATGCTGAGCACTTCCTGTTCACAGACCAGGAGCACTATTGCAACGCCAGCTGGATTCTGGCAGTGGGCCCCACACTCTCAGAGTCTGAGCAGCTAAATCTGACCCTTCCACGAGCACCCAATGGCAGTTTCCAGATGTGCCTTATGTACTTGCCTGTGCCCTGGGACTTGGGTTCTATCATCCAGTTTGGCCTCAACCACACCACTACATGCCAAGATGGGTGGATCTATCCTAACTCCAAAACTTGATCATTGATCAATGAGGTGTGCTTCATCCTGGGTTGTCTGTAGCTACTCCCATAGGCCCAGAGATATGCTAGAGGGGGATAGCATTGGCCTGAGGTCACTTTGCAGAAGTGGGCCTTGACAGAAAATTAGAATTCCTGTTTTCCACCCCTTGGCCCTGCCTATCTTAGCCAGGAAGTTAGAGTGCATTTGGGGGTAGAAGATGGGGGATAGGGTGGCAGGGTTGGCCATCTGTCCAAGGAATTGCTTCTGAGGTTGTGACTCTGCCCTCTGAACTCACAGAAATAGGGACTAGAAGGAGTCAGCTTCTCAGGTGTCTCTCACAGGACTTTACAACCTGAGCTGCAACCTGAGTCCTTTCTGGCACGGACCTGCCCATCTAAAGCTCTAGGTTGGAGCCCAGCTGTTGGGCCCTCAGAGATTCATATCTTCATTCAGGTACCTTCCCTATATTCCCTTTTTGGCCTGTGCCTCTGGTCCTTCTCTCATGCCTGGGCTCTCATCTGGGTGCACGGCAGGTACAGAGGTAACACAGCTGGGGTACCCTCCACCTAGTTGCCCATTCCCCACATGCCCTCTGCCTCAAGGTCCCACCTAGGCCAGGCTCTGTCTCTGTACCCAAAAAGGCTCAGCCTGGCTGGAGACCTATGGAGAATCCTTGTGTCTAACCCCCCACTTTGACCTGGTGTGTGGCAAGGAGCCAAGAGAGGAAAGCTTCCAGTCCATATCCATGGCTGGCTTCCTGACAGGGTCTCTCATCTTTGGGTTTGACACGTGAGTCCCCTGGAGTTCTGACTAGCCCCAGGGACATCCTGCCTCCTCCTAAAGAGCATTCAGAGTTGACCATCTTCAAGTTGGGGGAGGCTAAGGGAGGAGTTGTCAGGGTCCCTGGGACAGCTGAGGCCTGGCCCAGGGAGGTCCAGCACTTGATGCAGTCTCACCTGGACACCCTAGGCTGGGCCATTACCCTGCTATCCTGATCTCGCTTCTGGGGCTGACAATCTTCAACTTTGGGACAGCCTTTGTGAGCAGTCTTCACCAGTATTTTTTCTCCCGTTTCCTTGTCTCCCAGGCAGTGATTGGTTACAGAATCAGCAGTGTGTGTTTAGGTGACACTGGGCCTCAAGGGACAGGGCTGGATGGGAGCAGAGACGCAGGGCAAAAAATGGAAGTGGGGGGACTAGAGTGCCTCAGGGAACAGGAAGAGGGTTCTGCCCAGGCAAGGCAAGATGAGCTAGCAGGAACCTACTAGAAGACATAGAACATAGTCTGGGGCAACCCACTTTCCAGAGCCCCTTCTGTCTCTCTTAGGCAGAAGCTTTCTTTCTCCCAATAAATTTTTCCTACTCTTAAAAAAAAAAAAGAACATAGTCTGTGCCCAAGTAGGGAAGGTAGAAAAGCAGAGTCTCTCTTCCTGTTGGCCTGGAGATGCCTGAGCACCAGCATCAGATGCCTATTTTTCTCACCCTCCACTCTATTCTCCTCGTACCCCCTCATATTCTCCCTGAGTTTCCCTTGTGGACCCCTACATGGCTGACATTCACTGAGCCCAGCCCAAGGGAGCTGCTAAGCCTGCATATGCATTGGATCATTTCATCTGGACAACCCTCTATTCAGTATGCACTGTTCTATTATTCCTTTAGTTGAGAAGGACATTTGCACCCCAAATAAGTTTATCACCTTACCCAGAATCAGAGAAGTAAGGACCTAAGATTTCAATTCAGGCTAATGTGGGTTTCAACCCAGGCTTATGTGATGCCAGAGCCCCAGTGCGCACACACTCATCCACTGACCTCAGAAGGTACAGTGACTAGAATCTTATACCTGCGATCCCTGCTGTGCAGAGAATTTCCGAGGAGGGAAACTTCTCACTGGGAACCTGCCAGGACCAGCCAGAATGAACTGGTCCTCCACAGACCCTTAGACCTCCACAGCCCAAGCATGAATGCACCTAAAGACAGGGATAGTGATTCATTGCCTTCTCATGCATCCAGCCACATGTGTGGCACAAGGCCTAGAAATCTTCTTTATTAGATATTATCATCAGGCAGGCTGTATAGAGGGATCAGCCAGATAAGAAAGGCTGGAAGGCCACTTATGTGACAGGAATGTTGAGTAAAACCTAGGACACTGTGGGAGGCATAAAGGCACTCTGTGTAGTTTTGAGGGGTGTCTCAGGCCTAGTGCTGATCATGAACAGGAAATATATCCTTTGCCCAGTCTGAACTCTCTAGCACAGGGCAGGGGGCATCTCAGAAGGCTGGCTGCAGGGGCAGCCTGGGCCCTGAGCTGACCACAGTTTTGTCTTCTTCATCTCTGCATAGCCACTGAATGGCTAGTGGGCAACCACCGGGCCCATGCCATCTTCCTGGAACACTGCTTTGTCTCTGTGGGTGTCCTGTTCCTGATGGGACTCAGCTACAGCCTTCCCCACTGGTGGCTGCTGTTCCTGGTGGGTGGGCCACCTGTGCTCCTGTTCATCTTTTACATCTGGTAAGCAAGCAAGTGCAAGGTATGCACAGGCCAGGGTCTGCTGGGTAGAGATGAAGGGATGTGGGAATGAGTGTGGTTTTTCTCCAGAAAAAGGTGCATCTGGATAAGATGAGAAGGAATTTGGGCAAAGCCTCTCAAACTCCAGCATTGCTCCCCCTACAGAGAAGACTGTCAAAGAGATGTCAGAGAGGTGGGCAGAAAACCAGGAGAAAGAAAAGAGTACTAAAAGGCAAGGGTTCAAGAACAAGGGATGGTCAGTGTTGAAGGCAAGAGAGGTGAGGCTGAGGAAGGGCAGACTGAGTTCAGTCTTCGGGAAACACATATGAGCCCTCTCCTAGGCTGCCCTACTGACTAGTACACCAGGGCAGGCCAGAGACAGGCCCTCTTCCATATTTAAGGAAGAGTCTCTAAGAAGCTAGTGGGAAACCCCAAGGAGAAGCTAACTGGCTGATAACCATGAGTATGGATCTCAAATTTGTGTGAATATCAGAATCACACTGATGCCTGCTAAACACCAGTGGCTGGGACCTCTCCCCAGTTTCTGCATCTGCAGGAGTGGGGTACACCCAAGAATCTGTATTTCTAACAAGTTCCCCGCCGATAAGGATCCTACTGACCAGCTGACCATACTGTGAAAACCACTACTGTTGACCACCTGTTCCCTAAACATCCCAAAGGCAGGTCATCCCCTGGCTCTGACTGTGGTACTGTCTGATGATTTTGAGGGTGGGACTCTCCTCATCATTATGAGAACTTCCTCTCTGTTGCCCTTGGTCTAGCCTCAGCCCCTGCTCCTGCTGTTGTGTTCACTTCCTCAGTCTTCCTTATCTTCTAGGTGCAAATTACAGAGGAAATGGATCAGTCCCATCTATGAAAACTGGGGTCCAGGATCCTCTGGGGCCAGAATGGAAATCTCCCAAAGCACACTGTATGACATGGGCTTTGCCTGCTGTCAGTCTGTTCTGGCTACCTTATCAAAATACCTTAGATGGCATAATTTACAAACAGAAGCTTTTTGCTCACAGTTCTTGAGTCTGGGAAGCCCAAGATCAAGGCCCCAGTAGATGTGGAGTCTGGTGAAAGCCTGTTTCTCATATAATACACCTTCTATGAGGTTTTACGTGGAAGAAGAGAAAAGCAAGCTTCCCTGAGCCTTCTTACAAAGCCAGTAATCCCACCTCTTAATATTATTGCTATTAGGGAAAGGTTTCCATCATGAATTTGGAGGACAAAAACATTCAACTCACAGCACCTGCAGACTCAGAAGTGTTCCACACATTTTTGAGCTTCACAATGTGAAAATTGCATCTCTCCCACAGCATCCTCTCTCCTCTTCTCTTTGTCCTTGAGAATTTATTTATCATCATCATCATCATCATCATCATCATCATCATCATCATCATGTGTTTTAGTGTGCACATGGTCAATCTGTCTTTTTGAAAAAGTTCCAATTTGATGACTTTCTTTAAGTGTATTCTGCAACCTTCATGTGGAAAAAGATAACTGATTGCTGGACCCTGGGGGGAAAGGGCAGGAACAGGGCAGACAGAGAAGGGAACAAAGTCATATCTAGTGTCCAGAGTGTATGTTTTTAGAAATTAGCCACAGAGTCCAGGCTGGGAAGGGAATGATGGTGCAAGAAATCTACAAGGAATCATGGTACAGTTTTGTAGAGTGCCTTAGCAGAGGACCACATTATACCAGCACAGGCTGTGACCTTGGCCAAGCCCTTGTCCTCTGAAGCTGGCAATAATACGGGATTATCATACTAGGTCCAGGGATAGGCAAAGGTTAAACAAGATGCTATATACAAAGGCACTGAACACAATTCCTGGTACTTACTGCATGCTTTAACTGGTGGTGATCTGTGTGAATTCTGACAGCCTGAGAGGACTTGGAAAAACTGAGAGGGAAATTTATTTTGAGGTCAAAGGCAATGACACTTTGCAAGAAAGAAATGGGACAGAGTGAGAGCATCACTACCTCTCCAAGCTCCCAGGCAGGGTATTGGGCCTTAGGTAAGACTCAGGCTCCTGACACACACTCTCCAGGAGAAGCTCCAACCCTAAGAAAGAGACTCTCACAGATGATGTGTTGTGGAGTATGTGCCCTGAGAGTGTCCAGGCACCTGAGGACATCCCCTAGGGTAAGAAAGGGAGATGCTCTCAGAGGTGAGTGAGGGTAAAGGAGGCTGCAAGGCAGAGGCAGCAAGTGGCCAATGTCACCAAGCAGCTATGGGGGCTGTGTGTGGCTTGGACAGGGAATGGGCTACTTGCCAGGGAGGGGCAGAAGGCATATCAAGATTGGTGGTGTCTTTCAAAGCCCATTAGTCACCTTGTACTAGAGCAGGGTGGGCACAACCAAGTCTGGGTCAGGGCCAAAAGGGCTCTGGGGGATCTTGGAATAATGAAATAAGAAAGGATTTGGGCACACAGGATTCTTCCAGAGTCCCCACGGTGGCTGATGATGAAAAGGAAGGTGGAAGAAGCCAAACAGGTGCTGTGCTATGCAGCCAGTGTGAACAAGAGGATCATTCCTTGCACCCTGTTAAATGAGGTGAGAGGCTTCAGGCCAGGAATGGGACCAGGTCCACGGCTGTGGGAAGCCTCTTCCCTTATCCTTCCAGTTGGACCTCAGCCACAGGGTAGCTCAGTCCGTTGCCCAAGAAGAATGATTATGACAAAATTATGCCCTGCCAGGGTCAGGTGGGAGACTAGCTGGCCCTGTTGGGAGTGGGCTGTGTTTGCAGGTCTAGGGAGGAAGGGAACAAGCTGGAGTCTCAGCCCTGCCTCTGACTTGTCTTGCTTGTGCTCTAGCTGCAGCTGCCTGGAAAGATGGTGACTGAGGCAACTGCCCTGGATTTTTATTATAATAGGCACCTCCGCAAAGTGATCTTGGTAGTGGGCTGTATATGGTGAATATCCAGGGCTGCTGGGCAGGTCACAAATTTGAGAGGGAATAGGGAGTAGGCAGCCTGCAAGAGGAGCAAGGCCTAGGAACACATCACACAGGTCTCTGTGCTTCTCTCCCTCCTCCCTGCCCCACTTCTTTGCCTCTGTCTTTATTCTTGACCATGTGTGTGTGCATGTGTGTGCATGTGTGTGTGTGTGTGCATGTGTGCGTTTCAGTGAATGTGTGTATCCTGACTTTATTCCAGGTTTACTGTCAGTTATACCTATTTTACACTGACCCTTAAGATGAGAGACTTTGGAATGAACGTTCACTTCAGGCAGGCCATGTCTGGCATCATGAAGGTACCTGTTCAGCTGTGCTGCATCGTAATCTTTGAGCACAAAGGGAGAAAGTGGGCCCTGATTGCGACTCTCATCCAAACCATCATCATCTGCTGTCTCCTTTTGATTTTCCAAGGTACAAGCCTCCCTCCTTCCTTACAAACCTCCCCATTGCCTCAGCATGGCCCCTGAACTAGGCACCTTAAGTTGACCCCCTGCATACCCTGAGAAAGCCCTAGCCCTTCAGGATCAGGTGCCAAGTGGGGAACCCCAAGACATCTTCCCTCACCCACTCAGCAGTCTTAGAGTGGAGGTCATGCTATCCAAGTGAATCTTCATTGTGTGAGAGGGAAGGCAGCCTTCTTCCCCCTGATTCCAATCCACATGAGAAGTAGATCTGGTAGTCATGTGAAATATTCCTCTCTCTACTACCCTGGGCCCTGCCTGTCATCTGCGGCCCCTCTGAGAAGTGATTGTGGTCACCTGAGACTTTAGGAATAATCTATTTACTGAAAGCTGGGTGAGTGAAATATTGGGCCCAACCACAAGGGCAAGAATAGTTCTTGCCTTATTGGAGGCTCAGGACAAAGACCCTGGGGCTCAGCACTAGAAAAGGAGGAAGGTAAGGGCTGGAAATAGCTCCAGCATTTCTAGAACCCTAGACAAGGAACACACAGCAGGTCTCATGGAACTGGAGCATACAGGGATCCCATGCCAGCATACACCGCTTAGAAGCGCTCAGCACTGTCTCCTTCAGTGATGGGGCTGAGGCAGACAGCCAATAAAAGAGGAGCTGCCAACCTCTGCAGACAATGAGCAAAAGCTGTGCTCCCACTCACTCCTGAGTCCTATGTTCCTCCTTCAGAATGTGCATCCAGCTGCCGGAGGCAGGTAGCGTGCAGTGTTTAGGACCAGTCCCTGCAGTGCAGAGTCCAGAGATCAAACACCTCCTACCCAATTCACCTTGCACAGATCAGGCATGTGGGGACTCAGCTCAGCATGGTGGACAGTGCCCTGAGAGCCTCTGGGCCACTTAGCAGAAGACCCAGTGGGCCAAACCCACTTCCTCAAGCCAAGCCTCCCACTGCAAAGGTACTAAATGTCAGCCTGATTGGGTCTCCTCTTAATGAATGCCTGAGTCTGCTGGCCAGCGGACCAAGTGGCAGAGATGCTTTCTGCAAGCAATTGAGGAAGGGCTGATGGGTCCCAAAGACAGGATAGCCCCAGACTCAGGGTGGGGGCTCTCTTGTCTAGATACAGAGCTGAAATCCACCGTAATGTTGATATTCATGCTTGGAGAGTCCAGCGTGGCTGCCACTATCACTGTCCTGTTCATCTATACTGCTGAGCTCCTCCCTACTGTCCTCAGGTATGGAGTCTGGTGAGTGAGGAGCCCATGGGGCCATGGGGCTGTGGGGATGGGATAATCACAGGATTAATACAGCAGCTACAATTCAGCTTTCACCTGGTAGCAAGCACTGTGCTGAACACTTTATATAGATTACCTCACTTAAGCCTCACCAGAAAAACTCCCAAACACCATCATTAATCCTATTCCAGACAATAAAATCAAAGCTATAAAGGCACTTAATTCAACATTATTCATATCAAGTGGTGGAGCTGGGATTTGGACCAGGGTAGTCTGAAGTCAGTTCCTTCCTTTACTCACCTCCTAGAATACATGGGCCACCCTAACCCTCAGCCCCATCCCCCCACCCTGCCCCACAGGAGCCCTTATTGATGGTAGCCACAGCCATATCTTCCTACCCACCCAGCATCAATGGCTGTGTCACCTCCCCACACAACACTGCATGGTGCTTTCCTCTCCCACTCCTGACACCCAGGAAGGAGATCCTGAAGAAATTACTACCTACTTTGAATCAATAGTGAACTAAATTTTTCAAAGTCACACAGCTAGGATAAGGCAGTGAGTAGAGGATTTGGGGTTTCAGGTAGCTTCTCCCCAGGGCCTACTGGGCCTCTGCCTGAGAAGCCTTCCAGACCAGCTCTCACTTCCACTTTCAGGGCTACAGGGCTGGCACTGGTGATTCTGGCCTCATCAGGTGGAGTCATGTCATCCGAGACAATCATCCACCAGATCTTGTCCCTCCACCCCGTCATTCTCTGCTGCATCTTATCCTGTATGGCTTTGTATTCCTCCTTCTTGCTGCCAGAAACAAAAGATCAGCCCCTCTCAGATAGTCTGGAGCACTTCTCAAAGGCTAGGTGGGTGTGTGATGCCCCCGATCTCAAGCTCTTGATTTTGACAATACATCAAGCACTGTCCATCCCTGCCTCCATACCATGAGGGTTTACGACATGAGTGCCAACCTATGTCCACAGCAGTCACCTCAGCTCTTCTGGATCTACTCCTCCCCTGGGTCCAGCCCAGTCTCCCTACTCCTACTCTGCCTGGCTCTCCTGCTCCAGCCTCGGCCATGTCCTTCCTCCTCCCTGCCCAATCTGCTGGTCTGGTCTGGGGTGCTACCCTTGGAGATGTCCTCCAGTGGCACTTCAGAAGTCCCATCACTTCTCCCCTCCCAGGAAAAAGGGACTGGCTTGGAATTGGTTCTCTGAGTACCTCTCATTTCCTCTCTGAACTTCTATTTCCTTATAAAGGACTCAGACTTCATTATTAACTTTGGCCTTTGAGCCCCACAACACCAAGACCCCATTTGGGAACTGGGCTCCATCTATCGCCTCTATTGGCACTTCTGATCTCCTAAGTGTCCCCTGGAGAAGACTTTTTATGGTTAGAAGAACCATACTTTCTGGGATCTGTGGAGACCCCATCATTGTCTCCCTGGAGCTGAGAGGACCTGAGTGCCATGAGGGCCATGAGTTGCCTAAGGTCCTACAGTGCTCTCTGCTCTGTACCATAGGGGTCTCTGCCTCTGGCTTTCCTCTGCCTCATTTCTGCTCTCCTCCTTGCTGCCCTTAATTTCATTGAAACCACCTATGCTGGACACTGGGTTAGGGCTGGGCAATCAGAGGTCACAGGTCCCCACCTTTGAGAGAGCCATAGCTTATGAGGAGACAGACATGTAAACAGTTACCACTGTGGCCTCTGACAATGTGATATACAGTGACTGTAGGAGACAAAGGATAGAAGAACCTTGGTTTGGGAAGTTGGGAAAAAGTATCATGGGGAAGTGACATTTGAGAAGGACTTTGAAGGGTTAACAGGAATTTGTCTCATTGTAGAGAGTGGAAGTACAAGGCAGTACATACACTTTGAGAACGTAGTCGTGAAGAACACAGGATCTAGAGCCAGAGAGCCTGGATTTCTAGATTTCTATTTCTGTGCCACCATTCCATAGTACATGCACTAGGAAAACCTAATACCTCTGAAGCCTAGTTCCTTCATTTTCAAAATGGAATAACACAATAATAATAATAGCCAACATTTTTTGAATTTACCATGTGTCAAGCCTGTTCCTATACATGTCTTCTCTTACTTTGTCTAGAAACCAAGCAAATGTGAAGCAAGGTTTCTCCCTATTACCATTTTACAGGTAAGAAAACTGAGGCACAAAGAGATAAAGCCATGTACTCCAGCCTTCTTGTCCCATAGGCTTTTTGAGAGAATTAAACTCACATAAACTGTTGCCACAGGGTCCAGCTGTGGCAGGAACTGAGTAAGTGGTAGTGATGAAATCAGTGAACCATATTCCAAAGTCATAGAAAATAGATGGGTCTGACTGGGGTTGGGAGATGGCACCTGCCTGCTCCTGGAGGTGAGTGTCCCTCTTAGGCCCATGGTGAAGCTTGGCTGGGAACCTGCAGAAGCAAAAGAGCTCATCTCTTGGGAATGCAACCCCAATGATGGCTTTTCTCAGCCTCCAGAGAGAGGTGGCCCAGAACTTTGAAGATACTTTCAAGAAGAGGAACAGTGATACCATGGAGATGATGATGGCTGAGGATTCAGCATCTGATGATGTGTCTGAGGAAGCAGCAAAGAACACAATTCTCAATGCCCAGATTCTGAGATTGGATGAAGACATTTCCTCTAACACAGCTGTGGAGGAATCTGCACCTGAGGAAGCCCATGGTCAGACTCCCTGAGGGCCAGGGAGAGCCCAGACCAGCTTGGGTTGGAGTTGAGTGGGTGAATACATTTATAAATTCCAGGCCCAGTCCAGGAGGGGGCTAGGGTCAGTCCTGCTCTGAAGCAAGCCCCCAAGATCCAAAAATGGTCCCTCTCATGATGCTAGGTTGGGATTCATTCTAATAAAGCTATCATGATGATCTTAAGATGGCTTGGTCAAGGCTGGAAGTGTCAGGAGAACCCAGAGGCCCTACCCTGGAAGAAGGGCATCAAAGAGGCTCCCCAGGCTCCTTAATGTCTTTGGCTAAACTTTCACAGAGAGTAAGAAACTCCCTGGATGGGGTAGGAATGAGGTGGGCAATGTCTCCACAGGCCAGAGGTAGAGCAAAGTCAATTCTGTACCTTGGTACCCATCACATTCTCTACCCCAGGCATCTGACAGCACACTGGAGTCTTAGTTCAAGCACAGGCAGAGGACAAATTTCAAAGCCCTGCTTCATGCATTATTCAGGGCAGAGTGAGATATAAAGAAATAGGAGAACTTCTCCAATTTGTCCCACTGCACAGACTTGTTCACTGTTTTCTTTTCACTCTTCCAAATAAGCATGACCTTGAGAGTTACCCTTCTCAATCCTCATCCTAGGGGAGGCTTTCTCATGGCTTCTGCGTAGTTGGCCTCTGACCTCCATCACCCCAAGTATAAGTCGCCACATCCCAGCTTACAGTCCTTACTGCCCTGGGTGAGTCTGCTCTTCCTATGCAGCATGGAGCTTCCCTAGGCAGGGCCAAGACTCCATCCATAGCCAGACTGGGAAACCTTAGTGTCAGGCTCCTCTCTACATGGATGAGGAGTTCGAGGCCAGAGCCTGCCTTACCCTCTCCATTCTCTCCCAGTCTGTTGGAAGATCATGAGCTTAAAAGGAGTAGGTTCTGTCTAAATCCTATGAGCTTCTGAAAGGAGGACAACAGAAAACTGTCAATTTTCATACACCCAGAACAGCAAGGCCCTCTGATCTCACATTCTTATCATACAGATGTCTTAGTATAATACTGAACATTATACTGTATCAGTCAGTGCTTACTAGAGAAACAGATTTAATTCAAGATATACAAATATATAAGAATTTACAAGATTGGCTTATAATGGCTACCCACAGAGTCAGGTATGGAAGAGTGCAAACGGTCTGTATGCACGCTAGAGACCTGAAGGATTCAGTAGAAGGCCTGGAGTCCACTGTAGTGTTTGGTGCAAGTCCATGTTGGGAGACCAAAGGTCTCTGATGCAAGGCCGAAGAGTTGGCAATGGAATCCAGGAGCCAATGTCCAAGGTTAAGATGAAGACTGGAGCTCCTTGAAAGAGATAGAAACAAGCCTTCTTTCTTCATTTCACTTTTATACCATTCTGGCAACAATCCTCTCTAGGGTGGGTCTTCCGCATGCAGAACTATGCTGATCTAGTTTAGGTGGGCATTTCTTACTCAATTTGACACAATCAGAAAACTATCACAAAACCCAAAATATATGAAATTATATATTGTTAATAAATTCTCTCTCCCATACACTTGATATTTTTATGATACAATAGGTAATATGAGACATGTCACTAAGAGTTTTCCTTTATGCAAATAAATAAATAGCCCTGTGGCTTGTGATGTTCCCCACAGATGCCTGTGAATTCTGGGGCTCTTGTTTCCTTGGCCCCTGGTCACTCATTGTGTGGAAAGCTTATCTACGTCTTTGAGCTGCTCTTATATTTCTACCACTGCTTTGGCCTTACCTAAAATGTGGGGCCCAGCTCCTTGTCTAGGTTATCCCCTTACATAGGATGCTGCTCACAATGTACCAAAGGGCATAAGCTTCTGACAAAGGACTGTCCTGGTGATTGTGAAGCACCTCAGAACTGAGCTAGGCACCCCCCAAATGGGTAGAAAATTCAGCCCCATAACAGCAAGCCCCATGTCCATCAATAAATGTTAAAAAACCAAGAACCCTGATAAGTAGATCTTGGTGGTTGCAAATACTAAACAAATTCATTCCAAGGTTCCAACAACAATACATGACTCAGACTCACAGGATATTGCAGGAAAGATGAAGCTCAATGAAAATGAACTTGTAAGCAAAAAATACTGAGCATATTAAGGAAAGGACATAGCAGAAGCAATAAGTGGAGGAGTTTCAATCAATGAATTAGTGGTGATAGAACTCCCTGAAAATGACTCTGCATATGTTTAAAATGTTCAGAGATGCAGTAATACTATTACTAAGATATGGCCTTCGAAGATGACATCTATAAATCCTAGAAATGAACAATATAATGAGTGAAGTAAAAAAAAAAAGTGAAACCAAAATAGACACAGCCCAAGAGTGTCTCTTTCTATCACTGCTTTAGTAGAGAGAACTAGTCAGTGCTCAGCAACCCACAAGGGGAGAGCTAAGGGATAAATACCGACTTCATTCTCTTGCTGCTCTCTGATTGCCTGCTGGTGCCATACATGCTCCAAACCCAACAGCAAACCAGTGGCGAAGGGGAGCCTGCTGATGCAATCCTGGAAGATCAACATCTTGAGGAACAGAGCTTTTTCCCCCTCATACTCATTAGTTTCTAGGATGCTACCTTCTCTAAAACACTCTAATGTCTGTGAAGAAAAAAAGATAACCAAGAAGCAGCAAGCAATATGTCATCACACAGGTCCCAACCCTAACCATCGCATCTCCTTCTCTCCTCCTTTCAGATTCTGCTTTTGTTATAAATAATGTCCAGGATGTTTTTCTGTATATGGCAGAGGGAATAGTGAAAAGTGTGTTTACTCCACATTGTCCCAGAACCACAAGTCCCCAGGACTTTTAGAACATTTGTCCTGTATCACTCAGCAAACAGCAGCTGGCAAGAACAATGTTCCCTTAAAGTGATGGGAGCTCCCTCTTCTGCCACCTGCAAACCCAGTGGCCTTATCTGTAATCTGTTTTGTGACTCCTAAGTCCACCTTCTGGAATTCAGAACCACTCCAGCCTGGTTTGAACAGACACCCTCCAGCTGTACACTGCTCACCACTTTCCAGCCCCACCCAGATTTCTCTGTCCACCAAAAAGACTGCTCGTGAGGGAAGATGTTAATTCTTGCCTCCCTGACTGGCTGAGGAACCAAGCTCCCCACTGGGCATGTCTGAGGCTCCCAGCATGACTGCCGATGCCCTTCTCCCCTTGTTCATAGTGAATGAGTCTGGTCCTTGACTTCAACCCCTACACTTCTGAGGGTTAGAGTCACATTTACTTCACATACCCCTTCAAATTTTTCTATGCTAATTTGCTTAGGTATCTAACAGAAAATCCAAGAATAAGTCATTTCATATCAATATACTTTAGAATTGTTTTCTGACAGTTACAGAAGATTTCCTGCATAAACACTTTGCCATTATCATACTTAGAGAAATTCATGATAATTCATTGGCATCATCTAATTCCTACATTTCTCCAGTTGTCCCAAAAAGTCTCTTTTTATTGTGGAAAATATACATAAAATATATTGTTTTAACCATTTTTAAGGGTATGGTTCAGGAGTGTTACTTATATTCACATTGTTATACAGCCAGTCTCCAGAACTCTTTTCATCTTGCATAACTGAAACTTTATCCATTGAACAATAGCTCCCCATTCCTCCCTTGCTGGCCCCTGGCAATCACCATCCTACATTATGTCTCTTTGTATTTGACTACTCTAGATTTCTCATGTATTTTACTAGATTCCATTTGTGAATGGCTTATTTAACTGAGCATAAGGTTTATTGATATTGCAGCATATGTCCAAATGTCCTTCTCTTTAGATACTGAATAATATTTCATTGTATGTATCTGATCAGACTATACAGTGAATGTTTAATTTTTTAAAAAATATTATAGTAAAAAATGCATTGCCATTAATCCACCTCAAAATACTCACTCTCACTTTAAACACGCTTGTCCCATCATTCTTGCCCACTTTCTGAAGCTGTTCTGGAGGTTGTCTTTTATGAGAGTCCTTACAAAGTATATTATGAAAAAAATGGTTAATACTGCTGCCATGTGCCATTCAGCAAAAAGGCAAGCTTATAAAAAACATTATAGTGCATCCTCATCTCCCTTATTCATCAGACCTGGCACCGTCTGACTTATGGCTTTCCTCCAAAGACAAAATGATCATAAAAGATAAACATTTTGAATTGATTCAGGACATCAAGCAAGCCATGACAGGGCAACTAACAACACCCAGTGAAGAGGACTTCCAGAACTGCTTCAAAAAGTAGAAAGAATGAGAGAAAAGTGTTCAAAGCAAGGAGGAATATATTTTGAGAGGACTAATGGAAATTATTTAAAAAATAATTTTTAAATTTAAATAATAACCATATTTTTAATCTCACATCATACATCACATTTTGTTTATTCATTCACAAGTGGAAACTGAATTGCCTTCACATTTTGATTATTATGAATAAGGTTGCTATAAACATGAATGTACATATATCTTTTCAATCCTTGTTTTCAATTGCTAGATCACATAGTGCATAGGTCAGCATCCCCACTGCTGAGACAAAATACCTGATACCCAAAACTTAAAAGAGAAGAGGTTTATTTTGGCTCACAGTTTCAGAGGTTTCATTCCAAGGCAGAGAAATGATGGCAGAAGGCCAAAGTAGAGTAAAGCTGCTCAACTCATGGTGGCAGGGAAACAGAACAAGTTGGAACAACTCTGAGAGGAAGGGCCTAGGGACCATCTATAGTCTCAAAGGTCACAACCATACAACTCCCTCCTTCCCAGTAGGCTCTGCCTCCTAACTGATAATTCAGCTATGAACTTATCAACAGATTAACCCATTGATGAGATTCATGCTCTAATATTCCAACCAGCTCTCCAGCATCTTTTAATCCTGTCAAGTTGAAAATAAAGATTTTCAGTTTAACACTTAATCACATCTCCTTTAACTACACTTAATTTCCAAATAAACACATAACAAGGTCATAATTCCACTTAACATGATAGAACTATCCTGCCTACAACCAAAAATTCACTAATCCCTTCCCCAAAGACCACAGCTTCAGTATTGCTCAAAAATCCAACTCCAAAATCTCCTGAGAGGCTCAAGGCAAACTTTTACTT